TTCAATAAAATCCATTTGATTAATCTGGAGTGGGAGGGTCAGAAACAAATATAAAATGTCGGTAAAACATTAATTTTGATGGTTTGATGGTTAGAGCTTATGCTCAGACATGGGATATGATTCCATTTTGTAAGGTTCTCTTTGACTCTTTGATATAAATGGTTGTAATTTCTGTCAAATAGTCTTTTTGTATCTTTAGTAAGTGTTACACTCAGGTATTTAAATGAGTCTGTTCCATCTCAGTGGATGTGCTTGTCTGAGCTTTTCAGAAGGATTATAATTGTAGGGAAGGGCTTCAGTTTTATTTAAATTCAGTTTATATCCTGTTATTGGGCCAATGTTTTTAAGACAGTTCATTACCTCTGGCAGAGACTCCTCAGGTGTTTTTAGGAATAAGAGTACATCATCGGCATAGCATGCTATTTTATGTTCCAGATCATTCAGTGTAACACCTGCGATTTGTCTGTTTTGCCTTTTATGTTGGGCTAGTGGCTCCAGAAATATGGCAAAGACAAGAGGAGAGCAGGCACAGCCTTGTCTCACTCCCCTCTCCAATGTTAGAGGTTGACTTAGGAGACCATTAATCCTAAGCCTTGCAGTCGGGTTATCATATAATGCCTTTACATTATTTATTACCGGCTCATTAAAACCAAATTTATGCAAGACTCTATATAGGTATACATCGGCCAACAAGACTGAGGATCACAGCCTGCTCTGTAGGTTGTATCTAGTTCATTATGTGTAAAGTGCATCTTGTGTTATCCTGGGTTTGAGGTTTAAGTGTATAAAGCCAGCTTGATCATTATTATTCTTTCCATTCGTTTTGCCATTCTGGATGTATGGATACAGTAATCTACATTAAGTACGGCGGCCATGTTTCTACTGCAGTTGTTACTGTGTGAGAAAAGTGTTGTTATCTCGAAGGACCGACACAGTCACTGTTGATACACTGCAGGTATTTGCTCGCTATCAAGGTAATGAACTTTTGAACTTTAACAATCAGAGGAGGAATGACATTTATTGACAATACTTTTAATTCTGAATGTTTGGGTTTTTTTAGAGTAAAGGTGGTGTGAACT